TTGTATCTAAAAACTGTAAAGGGAGTGTGGAACCAAGAAAACACTGTTTATTTAAGGATACATACTCATCTCCTCTCCTCTCCTCTCCTCTGTCATCTCCTCTCCTTTCCTCTCCTCCCCCTCTCCTCCCCTCCCCTCTCCTCTCCTCTCCTCTCCTCTCCTCCCCTCTCCTCTCCTCTCCTCTCCTCTCCTCTCCTCCTCTCCTCTCCTCTCTCCTCTCCTCTCCTCTCTCCTCTCCTCTCTCCTCTCCTCTCTCCTCTCTCCTCTCCTCTCATGATTTTGAGAATCAAAAAAAGATAATTGTTGGTATCTTTGAGTGGTTTGGTGTGATTGTGATTATTTCCCCTGTTACCATGGCATTGCTGTCGATCTCTGACCTGGCGCCCTAAAAGCTCCTGTGTGAGAGAATCTCCCACCAAATCCAGTTCTGAGTAGTCTTGAATCCTTCAGTTTAGGAGCGCTGCTGTTGCAGAGTTCAAAGTTGCGTTTATATTTGAAGGTTTTTACGCATTTGACTTTTGCAATGTTTCTGTTTTCACAGCACATTAGTTATGAATGTATTTCTTTAAGGTTTGTTTTCTCCTGCTTCAGAGTCCTGTTGGTGTTTTAGATTAAGCATTAGCACTTATTTTTATTGGAGAAATTAAGACAATGATCTTAAACCACTTCACCTCAATGTGCAATCAAATCCTCTAAATATTGTTTGTTTTCAATTATGTGATCTTCTCCGGGTGCTAAATAGCCTTGCGGTTATGTTGTGCATCCCGTGTTCAGAGGCTACGGTCCTCGTTGCAGCGGCCGTTTGTTCAAATCTGACCTCGGCCCTTTGCTGCATGTCATCCCACACACTCTCCCACAGCATTTCCTGCCTCGCTTCAGCTGTCTGGTCCAATAAAGCCAAAAAAGCCCCAAATAATATCTTTAAAAAATGGTGCGATTTTCTGTTTCTCTGCATCATTATCAGTCACTGTAATTATTGGATACTGTATGTATGCTATACTGAAGAAGAAAACAGTGAGTGGTTCGAGAGTGAAGGTGACGACTGACTCGACAGATCTCCATGCGGTTGGCTGCCTCCTCCATCTCTTCCCTGAGGTGGTCGGCCTTGGCTCCCGTCGGCTGCAGGTTGGTGGAAAGTCCCGACGACTTGGTGGACTGATAAAACCTGAGGACAGAAAAAAACATCACTTTTTGAAAAAAAAACATTTGATCAGTTTTCTGTCTGGATTTGATGAACACAGCATGTTAAACTGAAGAGAATGATTTTTTCATCAACAACAGAACCTGACAGCTACGCTAACAACACGACTCACAGCAAACAAAACACTTTTTTTTAAGGATTCTTCAGCATATAAAATGAAAACACTTTCACTATCTACATTTCCTCATTCATTCAGCTTCAGCTATTCCCCCTACATCCCTCCCTCCCTCCCTCTCTGTCCGTCTGAGACTTTCTCTCCGGGTGGAGATAAAAATGTCACGCTGCCAGAGGAGCTCAGCACACAGCGGCATGATGGGAAAAGTTGTCTCCGATTTGGGTCACTGAGAAGAAAAAAAACTCTCTGACTGACTGAGTGGCCTGCAGAGAAGAAAATCTAATTTCTCCAAGTTTCTGCTTAAAACGGCACAGAAGTGACGGAAAACAAGTGGGGAAAAAAAACATGTTTTTGTTTTGTTTGATTCAGTTCTTTAAACTTTTCCTTTTACTACAGGAGAACAAATCTGCACTGACATGATGACTCCAACTTTCAAGATCAGGACTAAATGGCCGACAGGGTACGCCGCACACAGCCTATACGTTCTCAGGTTGCAGGAAAATACCATGAAAAATAAATCAAAACTCTGTGGCTCAATGAAAATAACTTTACTGCATTTTATTGTGAGCTAACATCGCGTTTCGCTTGTAGCTTCCTCAGGTTCGCTCAGCACAATCACCCCCTCACCAGGTCTCCCCGCCTCCTCTAGAGTCTGAGGTTAAAAGTCAACAACACAACTTTCAAAATGAAAGCCACTTAAACACATCACAGAGCATTAAAGGCTTTATATGTGATTTTTTTGATCCAGCAGATGTCGCCCTTGAGCACCAGCATGAAACCAAAACAACTCGCGCTGCATAGTTGTGTTAGCATGCTAATGCTAGTGATCTTTATTATGCTGGTATCTTCACACTGCATGTAAATTTACCTGAAATGAGCGTGATCTAGAAACACAGTTAAGCAGTGAGTACAGTATGTTATTCTTCTTTTCTCTAGTCCCTCAATTAAACAACTTTTATACACGAGGGGAGGAGTCAGCCGGCCGTCCGGGCGATGTAAACAACGTGAAGATAGGACTCTGAAAACTCTGAAAACATCACAGACAGTGGGACTCGGGTGTTACACCCATTGTAGACAGTCATGACTCACAGAGTTATTTTACATTTAAGTATTAAGCCTTTAATGGAGAAAAGATGCAGAATGTTTTTTGGTACATTTTGCTATAATTACCTGTGAGAAATCATTTAGCAGAAGCGTTAATCGTTTTCTACAACGAGGCTGAGCTTAAATCAGTCAGTGGTCGAGATAATTAAACCTCAGGAGGACGATGAAGATTCAGTTAAACAGCATGAAGAGCCGCAGACTCAGTGTGTTCCCCAGAAAATACTTAAAAATGCTCATTATGTTATCTCAATAGTCAATGATTGAGTATAAGTGAAGGTTGAATGAATGACAGAATGTTCAGTCATTCATGGTTTAAACTTTCCTGGTGTGCAATCAAATCCCAGTGACATTCACTGGGAAGCTCCAGGACCAGTTCACTCACAGGGGATGGAGTTTCTCAAATCACAGCAGAGTGTCTTTCTCACACTCACACAGTCACACACTCACACACACACACACACTCACCGTGTGCGCGCTGAGTCCATGTCCAGGACCAGCTTGGCTAAATGTTTCCTTTGTTTCTGGATGTTTGGGATTTCCACCTGAAGGAGCAGAGCAGAGACCAGTTTGTTGTTTGTTGGTGAGAAAGAGACGAGGAACAGACGCAGTATTGTCAGAAGCTAGTTCACCTGTCGCAGGTATAAACTCTGCTGCTCTGTGTGTCTCATGAAGATTAGTTTACTGCCTGATGAACTCTGTCTGAACGATTAGCCTGAGCAGTGAAGCTTCAGGGACCTGAGGCAGAATTCTCTCAGCTCTTTTCTATTAATGGATTCAAATCAGTTATTTTCCTCTCATTGGTGTCTTTTGATCAGTCTGGGGTCTACATGCTTTTAGACTTTTCTCCATGGATGGATTTATTCAAACAAGTGACCAGTGGGCAACGATCTAAATACGCTTCAGACTTTATAGTTCACTTACTTTCAGAATGTTTTATGACCATATTAAACTGACAGACAGGGGCGTGTCCAGACCTTTTACACTGGGGTGGCCCAACTGGGGCACTGACCTCTGCAGGGGTGGCATGAAGTTGGTGCGCATTCACATGAATGAAGAGCATTTATTTACCCTTTCTGTCTGCACTAATCACATCAACGTTTAGTAACACAAGATAATGGCAACATGAACATCTTATGAGCTGAATTATTCAAAAGTCACAGTTTAATACATTTTTAAAAACATTGAGAACTAGGAGCTGCCTGTTGCAACACAACCTGAAAAGTGGATTTCAACATAAGTCCAACATCTGGTAAGGCAAATAGCCAATCAGAGTTTTTGAGATTTTGGGGTGGCACCTGGGGTGGCCATTAAGATTTCAAGGGGGGCCCATGCCACCCCTTTTGGAAACGCCCCTGCTGAAAGATGAGGTTTCAGAGGTTATACCGTATTTAGTGTCAGAACGACTTGTTGCTGCGACTTTAACACCCCTGACTGATAACAACGATGTTTTATAAATGCATGCATCTTCTCAATGCTTAATCTTTGGATTCTGATTCTGAATCTGATGATTAAGTTTGCTGGCCTGCATTGTCTGTGTGAAGACAAAATTATTTGTGTGTCCTTATTTACAAAGCATTACTTAATCTGCTTCCCTCTGACTTTTCTAGTAGTCCGCTCCTGCAGCCTGGACTCTCCTGCAGGACGATCTGAAGTCACAGATTTGAAGTCACAGTGTTTTTTTCCTTTACCTCTGCGAGGTCGTACAGAGGCTCGACGACGTCTCTCTCGATGGTGAGCTCGAACAGGATGAGCTCCTGGGCGAGTCGCTCCTGCGTCTGTCCGCAGAGCATCAGCATCTTCCTGCAAAGGGAAACAGGACACAGATTCATCAGAGAGCGTCATATCAGTGAGATCGTCCTCTCACATTACAACAGTGCATTGCTTATATTTCTGCACTTGAAATAACTGTAGAACTAATGCAGCAGGGAGATTTCTCGACTGTGGTGAGCATAAACACAGCCCTCCATATATTGAAGCTTGAGATCAGCACAGCAATTTAAAACATGTTTTTCTCTTTGAACAGACGATTCAACCTGCAGCAGAAGTTTTTGTGTTTGCAAAGGAGCTAAATTAATCATGACAAATGTATTTCCCACTTTATAAAAGAAACACATTCACATAAATAAGTATCAGACTCGATTAGTGATTGGCTAATGTTAACGGTTCCACGAGTAAAAATGAACTTTGGGAAAACATCTTCACCTATTGTGCTGCACAAGACAAAACACATTAAAACTCAATACAATGGTTACCAGGGGTCAATTTAAAAACCAGATCACAACTCACTGTACTCATGAGTGTAAATGTTATTAACTGTAGTTACCTGATTACTGCTTATTCTTCTGGTTTTATAATCTATGTATTTTGTCTTCGTTGTTTTTTGTCTCTTATTCATTTTAATTGTTCTCTCGACGTCATTGTAAATAACTGAAGGTAAAATGAAATGAAAAAGAAATTCAGTCACTGATTTTATTATTTATTTGGGTTTTCTGACCGTGCAGTTTGTTGATCAATCAAGGCTTAACAAGTGTTAATGAGGCTTTACTGTTTAAATAAAGGTTGATTTGAACTATAAGTTCACGCTTCACGTTAGAGAAGGAGGTCGGACATGATGGAGAAACGCTTCTTCACTGGATTAAAAAACATTTCTTTACACGTCAGCAATTTAAGAGAGAAAATGAAGCCAATGTGTCAAATAATTACAGATTCTGATTTATCACTTTGTGTGAGGGTGTGTGATTTGTTTGTGTTTAGAGTGTGTGTGTGTGTTTGTGTGTGTGTGTGTGTGTGTGTGTTTACTCACCCTAGTAGAGACTCGTCTCCGAGCACTGCCGCCCCCTCCACCATACATTGTGCGAGCGTAGTTAAGGGAAGCTTCTTCTGCACAGAAACACAAACACGTTACAATCTATCATTGTCTCAGTCCACAAATAAACACACACACATTTTAAAGCACACACACACACACACACACACACACACACACACACACACACATACACTATACAGCACACACACAAACATGACAAACCTGCAGGGACAAATCCATTTCTTAAAACGCTTCAATCTGTTTTCTGTTAATTGAGATCAAAACGATTCTTTGAAGTTGAGCTCCTGTTTTTTATCATCACAATCTTTGTAATTAATCAAAAGATTTGATCTCACTCGTCCTCAGCCAGCGTTATCTGCTCCTTACACTTTGTTAAATAAGAGTTATTTCAGTGTTTTTCATCTCGTCTTCTCTATAGACTTGTGTACAGGAAGTGGCTTCACCTAGTAGGTGTTTTGGTTTGTCACCATCTTCATTATTTCCTTGTTAATAGTGGCATTATTTGGACACAGAATTAGAAACACATTTGTTTTATTCTCTAAGAAGAAAGTTATGAGGGACAAAAAATGACTAAAGTATAAATAAATAAATGAATGAATGAATGAATGAATGAATGAATGAATAAATGAATAAATAAATAAATGCATCAATAAATATATATATATATATATATATATATATATATATAATATATAAATGCAACAATTAATATAAAAATAATATATAAATAAATATATTCATATATTTATCCTCATAGAAAGTCAGGATGGTTTATTTTAGTTTTTTTTCATTGAATAATAATGTTGTTTTAAGCATGTCATGGTTTGGGAATATTTGTATGTATCAAGCAATACTCAAAATAAAAACATCAATCATTTCGATTCTACGCTTCATGTTCTCCCCTAGGCTCTGTTTCTTCTCACCGAAGGCGACCTGACAGACTTCTTTTCCACGTCCACGCCCTGCTGGCCCTGCAGACAGGCGGTCAGCTTCTTGTGCGTGCTGTGAGAAACCTGCTTGACCAGCTCCAGACGTTTCTCCACCTGACACAGATAAGACGCACAGATTTTTGCAAGTCAGTTTCTGGAAGTGCCCGTCGACAGTTACCGCCCCGCACATAGGTTTAAAACAAGCTTCTTCTCACTTACAGTAGACGACTTTCACCTCAATGAAATGCCTCTTATTTCATTATAAAGCAGACTCAGTTGTAACTGATGTCACAGCCACAGAAAAAAAGCATAATTCAGATCAATTAACGCGCTGCAACCAAAGTCAATCAGCAGCGGCGTTCAGGCTTTTGTCTCACTGAGAAGTTCATTTTCAGTGCTCATTAACGTCGCCCGAAGGCAGTTCAGAGAGCCCTTTATAAAAAAAAAAAAGTCATTTCATGCACTCTGAAGGCTCTGCATCAATAATGACTTCTCCTGTGAGAGGCAGCCGACAGTGAAGAGAAAAACAAACATGAATCATTACCTGTAGTAGGTCTTCACTTAATACTTCTGTTTTTTCAGCTCTGCAAGAGAAGAGAGAAAAGAGAGGCTGTGAGTGTTGAAAGGGAATTATTAAATGACATAACTCGCGGCTGTTTTACTTCCAGTGTTCACAAGAGACTCGTCTCTAATACTAATACTGCCAATTATTCACAATTGCAAATGTTATTTACCAAAATGCATCTAAATCTGATCTTGCAGATTTGTCCTTGGTTGTCCTTTTTTCACTCGTCATTGTTTACTTTATGATGCACCACACTCTCCATTGCTCACTATAAGAAGACAGCAGCCCTGGATCCAGTTTCTATTTCAATCTATCCACTTCAACTTTCCACCACATTTAAAACTGTATCTGTACCCTTCACTTCAAACGGCCGCACTAGAAGTCAGATTTATTTTGTTGTTCCACATGTTGGAGAAAAGCTTTTGGGTTTAAAGCTCCTGCTGACTGGAATATTTTACCTGTAAACATCAGATATATTTTGTCAATTTTATTTGTTTAAGGGCTTTTTCACATTAGTGCACGATTGCTCCCCCTACCCCTCCCCCGCTTGTCTGCGTTAAAGGTAGAGGTTGCTATGCAAAGTGTCCATCAGAAATAACTAATCCATATACATTTATATGCCGTCGGCGGCAAAGCAGTGGGAGCAACTTGGGGTTAAGTGTCTCGCAAAGGACACATTGGACATGTTGCTGCAGGAGCTGGGGATTGAACCCCCGACCTTCTGGTCAAAAGACAACCGACTCTTCCAACTGAGCCACAGCCGCCCCAGTTCTTACAAAACACATAAAGCTCTAGAAGCACCACAAAAATGATGTTTCTGTTAAAGAGGGTCCAAGTGTTATTACCGTTATTACTCTATTTTTGCAGCATTTGATTGAGTAGTGAGTATTTCACTTTGAGTTCTGTGACATTGAGGAGTCAGAGGAATCAGCTTTAGGATACACACAAGGTCATTAGAAGATTTATTCGTCGGTAATTTTGGTCGTTCGTCTCATGAGATTTGCTCAAAATGGGAATGTTACTGAAAATAGAGGAAACCGTTCCTTTGTTTGGGACTATTTTCAGCAGCAGATTAATACACACACTCACATTGAGAGTATATATGACAGGTGTACAACAATGGAGCTCTGTGGCTTTGAGGAATAAGATCAGGATTTGGATACAGTATAAGAAATTAATTGTTAATTTTTTCATTTTATGGGATTTACTGACAACAAGAAAATAAATCTATCAGCTCAATCCCTCATCATGTAAAACCTTAAATTATTAGATTTTTTGGGGTTTTTACAACTGAGAAAAAAGATCACCAGTTCCTCCAGGCCTTCTTTTGTAAAAAAATCACTTCACAGATATCGACTAAGAGTCAAATCTAAACCTGAAGGCGAGCATAGAGAGAGCGAGGTGTGAAAGCCGATTTGATGATTGACAGTTTGAATCAAATCAATGTGGACATTAGAACATGAAAGGCTGAGGGGAGCTGAAGGTTGATAATAAAAGTACAAGATGTTCTCTGGAGAAGAATGTTGCCTGCAGTGTTGTGGCCTTTAGAGAACATATACTTTGATCTGACGTGTGAGGGGAAAAAAGCAAGATACAGAATCTACAAGAACAGAAGAAAATAATTCAGTGATGCAGGGTGAAAGCCATGTAAAGGAGAGAGTGAATGTGTCGGCCATTTTTGATAGTTTTAATTTATAGAAATGCTAAAAAAAGAAAAAAAACATTGACTAAAGGACCGATGAATGCAAAACTTGTCATTAAGAATGCAACTTTTTTGGCGTCAGGTAGCCTAGCGGTTATGTACAGAGGCTACAGTCCTCGTTACAGCGGCCGTGAGTTCAAATCCGACCTCAGCCCTTTGCTGCATTTCATCCCCCCGCTCTCTCCTCCCAACATTTCCTGTCTCTCTTCAACTGTCCTGTCTTATAAAGGCAACTCATTTAAAACAATCTTATTTTGTCAATAAAATGTCACAAATGTAGTTAAAATACGTATCCAGGCAATGCAATCAAAATACTTGTGCACCATGCGTACAATGACCAGCATCGATTAACGTGCAAACACAACAGGTGTAACGCTGGACCGAGGTTATTATCGTCAACGAAAACGAATGAAATAACAAAAATGAAAATCTGATAATAATATAAAAACAACACTTTACTAAAAACATAAAACTGAACTTTGTGGGTTTACAAACTAATGCTATCCTTACAGTTCGCACATCTGGTGAGTTTGGCTGACTGCAAAAAATAAAATCTTTGATATTCTAACAGGTATCTCCAAAGAAGTTGCTTGATATCTTTCTCTGGACCATTTACAATACATAAACAAAAATGCTAAAACTAAACTGAATTAAACTAAGCATTTTCACAAAATAAAATGAACTAACACAGCAGTATTTAACTAAAACTGAAAACAAAAAGTCCAAAAGACAAAAATGCAAACTCATGAAAAATCCCAGACTATTATGACCTTGGCCTGAACATCACAATACTCCCCACCCCCTCTGCAATAAATAAAGTATGACAACAAATATACAGAAATAGATCAAATATAATCATAATAATGATTAAAAAAAGGTACTTAAGTACTCATGAAAATAGACGTGCAAGTACACAAACCTGCACAGATTTTGTGTAAAACAAAAACAGTGTCATCTATAAAAAACAGTTATATAATATGTCTGTAACTAATGGCTTATCTATCTTTCTATACAAGCCCAGAACCTTCACTTTTCAGCGTCTGTCATTAAGTACCTCAGGGGAAATTTTCAGAGTAGGATAATAATGGGAATCTAAAGGTCCTGAAAAACATGACCTCGGTTGTGTTTCTCTGAAGTCAATTTCTCTCAAGGTAAGAATTCAGAAATCTGGGGAATCGTTTTTCCAAAATAAAAGAATGCAAAAGTATATTTTGGTAATTAATAAAGTTTTTTTTTTTTCTATCTAACTGGCATATCATCTAGTAAATAAAAACAGGGTAAATATAGTTAATTCATGTCATCAGCTCACAATAGATCAAATCCTCACATTTCAGAGGCTAAAAACAACAACTGAAAAGCTTAAAGAAGGTGATATTTAGAAATATTCAGCAGAGGACAAAACCCAAAATATAAAACAATAAAAAAAGAACATGAGGCAGCAGCAGAGGCTCCATTGATTCTCCATCAAACTGCTTTCACTTTCCAAAAGAGCATCTCAGTATTCAGAGTCACTAACGGCAAAAATGTCTTCAGAGTAAAATACAACCTTGGATTTCTGTTTCAGACACAGAGATCAAGCTTGGTTTGTTGCAGAGTCGATGATTATTTGATCAAATATGTTACACATCATATCCAACTGCTGATCTTAGAGCGAAACAGCCTGAAAGCAGCATTAGTATAAACACACAGCAAGCTTCAAAATGTGCACAATCTGCATTACGGCCATGTATCTTACACTTCTTGTGACCCCTCCCCCACTCAGCCTGATATTTGTTTTTCTATCTATTTCTCTGATGCAATAATTTAACACACTCCTTTGAAATGCTGTTACAGATAAAAACATAACACTTGTGTATCTTCTCTTATCTTTAAGAAACAAAAAATAAAAACAGCAAAGTGGATCGACAGGTCAGTCCCAATCACCTAAAGTAAAGTTTTTCAGCCCTGAAGGTGCAAACCTCCAGTTTGACAGGTAAGAAAAGTCCCGCGTCACAAACTGTTCTTCTGCTCAGTCTGACCACATGCTCATAAAGTGGACATTTATGAAAGTTTGTGAAATCCCTTATTATAACCACCTTAATTGATAAAAGCGACTTATTCCAATGCTTCCAAGTTTTACTATAAAATATAAGCTAATTGACAAAACACACAGCTTCCAAAGTCCTTCAAGGAATTGGTCATAAAAAATAATTTAAATACACTTCTGTTGGCTAAAAATCAAAGTTACATACAGGATACTGCTTTAGGTACAATTAACTAAATGCATGATTAAAAGAGGAAGCACATATTTATAAAGACGCCATGAAGTCTACCTCACCTCGCACTAACCACATGCTTCTTTTTCCTAACACAAAACACAAACTGTTCTGTCATTTAGTGAGAGTTAAAAAGACGCTGTGGACTCTCCTCTGTAACCGTGTTGGACTTACGGAACCGAGCTGTTCCTGCGTGAGGCTCTAGTCCTGCTGATGTGCAGCTTTTTTCTCCACATCCCCTCTGCTAACAGGAGGGAGACCACTCTTCTTTTAGGAAGTGGCCCAGCGACAATGAGGTGGAGAAAGTGGAGCGACGGAGGGGAAGGCGGGAGGGATAGAGGGAGGGGAGGGAGGGACGGACGGACGGGGGGGAGGATCGGCTGAAGAATGAGACCTGACTATCTGGTCCTTTCACTATTTCTCTCATCACCTACGAAGCTCTCTGCGATATATTTTCAACTTTTACAACAACTACGACTGCAGAGAAAAAGATTCATAGAAAGCATGTTTTTATATCTTTCTTCACAAACACCTGTAGAAAAACATAATGAAGTATATTTACTCAACTATACTACTATATTTACTTCTGCTGAGTCTTGCATTTTAATGACATCTTCTAATTTTACCACACAAAATGTTTAAAACTAAATAGTGTCCTTTTATACTTTTAATCATATCCAGGCCATCAGAATGACATTTTCCCCATTCAAATTTCCGAAGAAGGAAGACTGGTCCTGGTATGTGGTCATACAGGTAACACACAAACACCCACACAATCATATCTTGAGAGTATTCTGCCTTAACCGATAGGAACAAAAAAACTCAAATTATAAGCAGAACCTTAGAAATTGTTTTTTTTTCTGGTAAGACAGGCTTTGTAACCCAAAATGAAAACTGGTCCTCAGAAGTGTTTATATCAGACAAAGTCCCCAAAAGGTAACAAAAACTGCCACACAAATACACACACACACTCACAGCCTACACAGCTATCCTTGTGAGGACATTGCATTGACTACTTCTCATTGAGGACCGCCAAATCAAGTCCTTTAGTGTTTCCCAAAC